AAATTAGCCGGACGTGGTGGCACATACCTGTAATCCCAGCTACTCGGGAGGCTGAGGCAGGAGAATCGCTTGAACCCGGGAGGTGGAGATTGCGGTGAGCTGAGGATCGCGCCATTGCACTCCAGCCTGGGTAACAAGAGCGAAACTCCGTCGCAAAATAAAATAAAAAAAAATAAGAAGAAAAAAGCACATCGGAATAAGTCGAGTGAGCATTGGCTACAAGCCATTTATTTTCAGGACTTGTATTTTATTTAGTTTATGTAACTCAGTGATAGAAGTCAGTCAAAATATTGCCGAGCTGGGATGGGATGTAAAAGTTTTTATATAATGATTTTTTTTTTTTTTTTTTTGAGATGGAGTTTTGTTCTTGTTGCCCAGGCTGGAGTGCAATGGCATGATCTCAGCTCACCGCAACCTCTGCCTCCTGGGTTCAAGCGATTCTCCTACCTCAGCCTCCCGAGTAGCTGGAATTACAGGCATGCGCCACCACGCCCAGCTAATTTTTGTTGTTGTTGTTGTTTGGTTTTTTGTTTCTATTTTTAGTAGAGACAAGGTTTCTCCATGTTGGTCAGGCTGGTCTCGAACTCCCGACCTCAGGTGATCCTCCAACCTTGGCCTCCCAAAGTGCTGGGATTACAAACGTGAACCACCATGCTCAGCCTACAATGAAAATCTTTATGTAATCCCAAAGGTGACTCTTTATACCACCTCCAAACTTTTTTTTTTTTTTTTTTTTTGAGACAGGGTCTCACTTTGTTGCCCAGGCAGGAATGCAGTGGTGTGATCATAGCTCACTGCAGCCTTGATCTCCCAGGCTCAAGCAATCTTCCCACCTCAGCCTCCCAAGTAGCTGGGACTACAGGTGTGTGACACCATGCCTGGTCTTTTTTTTTTTTTTTTTTTTTTTGCCTTTTTTTTTTTTGCTTTTAATTTTTAGTAGAGATGAGTCTCACTATGTAGCCCAGGTTGGTCTCGAACTCCTGGGCTCAAGTGATGCTTCTGCCTCGGCTTCCCAAAGTGCTAGGATTATAGGCTTGAACCATCACGCCCTTCCTCACTCACAAACATTTAATAAAGAAAATGACAGTGGCCCTTTCTTGATCAATTTGTTAATACTAAGCACTTTCAAACGAGCATTTTGCAGCTCTGAATTTGCTGGGAGAGCTAATACTAGGCAACTGGATTGGATAAATTCAGGAGTGCTTATTATTGCAGCCTAGAATGAACAGCTGATGATATTGGGTGAAAAATCCATAATACAGAAAAAAATCACAGCTGTTCTATTGTTCCTTATTCTTTTCCTCAAACAACTTTAGTGTAGTGTCCAATTATATGTACTGATATGGAGTTCAGTGTGTAGTACCTGGCACAGTAGCAACATTCATAATTCATAATTTGGGACTTATTTGTGCTTTTCAGTCTATAGCTAAGGTTTGGCAAGGCTCTCGTTTCTGGAGTAATAGTGATATACATTTGCTGCAAGATTGCAGCCTCATCGCAAATGCCTAAACCCAATGTCTATTTCAACATCAGACCACATTTCATTCATTAATTGTTAAGCACTTTTACAGAAGGCAAACAGATGGAGGGGCCATACTTAATTCTGTATGCACTACCCTGTGAGCTGTTAGAGATTTACAAATGTTAAGACATTAATGAATGCTATTATTAGTGCCAAGGATCGTATCTGTCTCCCTTGGCAAATATTTTCATAGATTTCTTCATTGAATATAAGCTTGGAAGAGAAGTAGAACATTTAACAGTAGTCCCACCCCCATCTAATTAGAAAATCCCCTCTACAGTAGCCTGGTCAAGTGCTCATCTTTGTTTATTTATGTTCAGATGCCTCCAGCAACTCTTAATCTCAAACCCCCCAGGGCCATTCGTCCCATCTTGGGTGGCTGTCAGGGTGTTAGAAACCTTCATGCTCTAACCTATGGCCCAGTGGCCCCTCAAAGCCATTGCTCTACTCCCACAAGTTTCCTTCCTTCCCTCCTTCCTTCCTTCCTTCCTTCCTTCCTTCCTTCCTTCCTTCCTTCCTTCCTTCCTTCCTTCCTCCCTCCCTCCCTCCCTCCCCTCCCCTCCCTCCCTGCCTCCTTCCTTTCTTTCTCCTTTCTTTCTCTCTCTCTCTTTCTCTCTTTCCCTTCCTCCCTCCCTCCCTTCCTTCCTTCCTTCCTTCCTTTTCTTTCTCTCTCTCTCTCTCTCTCTCTCTCTTTCTTTCTTTCCTCTGAGATGGAGTCTTACTCTGTCACCCAGGATGGAGCGAAGTGATGCCTGGTTCATTGCAACTTCTGTCTCCCAGGTTCAAGCGATTCTCCTGCCTCAGCCTCCCGAGTAGCTGGGACTACAGGCATGCACCACCACACTCGGCTAATTTTTAGTATTTTTAGTAGAGACGGGGTTTCACCAAGTTGACCAGGCTGGTCTCAAACTCCCGACCTCAGGTGATGTGCCTGCCGTGGTCTCCCAAAATGCTGGGGTTACAGGTGCAAGCCACCACACTCAGCCCGTCAAGTTTTATTTCTCTAGGTTAAACACCTAAATTCCTTTAATTTCTTCTCATATAACATGTGCTTGGGCCCTAGTCCTCTCTGGACACTTTCCTTTGACCACAACTCCAGTTTTTCTGCGACCTTCTTCAAGTGAGATGATGTGAACTGAACTAAATAGTAGAGGGGAAGTCTGCTCAGAGCTGTGATGGAACGGAGACAGGACAGCTACTTTCTTTTTTTAAGTATCCTTTATTGAACAGCCTAAGATTGCAATGGCTTTTTAAACAACTACATCACTGTAGACCGACCTGAGCACAGACAGCAAAAACCAATGCAGCTCTCCCACAGGCTGCTGTGCACTACGCTGATATCTTAACTCGTCACCCAGCAGACTCCCAGCTCTCATAGGGAAGGTGCGAGGGAAATCACCACCTCTCTTCCCTGGCCCTTCAGTGTGGTCCCTAGAGATCTTATGAAGCCATTTCCATGCCATTAAACCTCAAAAAATTGGGTGGCCATGTAATTTATCATCCAAGCTGAAACACTTTTGAGAGCAAAAGGAGGCACTATCATTAATTTACAAGGACAAGAGGTATATACCAGGGCTGTCCCTGGACAGCCAGAAAGTGTGGCCACCCTACCCGTGAATTACGACGGAGGCACTTAGCAGGAAATAGACTTAATAAGTTCTAGCAGGTTCTCTGTCCCATCCCAGAGGGCAGGCCAGCAGGCTCACTGGATGGCCCAATGACTCTGAAGGCAGCTAGGTAGCACTTTAATTCAAATGCTGCAGGAGGTTAGTAGGTTAGGTGGCTGCTTAAGGACCATGGGTGTGCTAAGTGATTTGGGCTGAGAGGCATTCGAATTCAAAATTTGTAAACACTGGGTATGCTAATAAAATGCATCCTCAGGTAGGGCAGCCAGCTTGTAACTCTTGACTATGGATATATTTTTCTCCCCAACTCCATAGTAAATTCTTTATGCAGAGGTTCTCTTTTAAAACATTTATTTTTTCCCCCAGCTTTCTTGATCAATTTATTTATTGATTCACAAACAAAGCAGGGCTTCTTAATTTTATTTGAGTCACAGATATTTTTGAGAGTCTGGCAAAAGCTATGGTTCCTATTCCCAGAAAATTTGCCTTTGCAGATGCAAACACAATTTTACATGCCTTTCCAGACCCCCTGGAGCCTGTCCATGGAAGGAGAGGCTAAGAACCCTGCTGAGAAAGTGGTCACCATTACCTCCATCCTGGGGCCTGACTCCAGTTCTTTACACCCGAAGATGCGCTACTCACTACTTACGATGTCAGCATGTCTGCATGCAACAGTTAAGGGTCAGAGGCTTCTATAGGTCCGCAAGCCAGTGCGCTGGGTGGAAGCGTGTGTTCTATCAGGCCAGACAAGATATTTTCTATTAAAAATTATTGAGCTGATCAGAAACACTTTTAAAAGTGAATACAAGTATCAGCAAGTGGTACAAATCATGCCTGATTTTAGGATGATCTGGGCAAGATACGAAACCCGGCTGCACTTTTAGAGAGCGAAGGCAGGTTCCCCAGCATGTGGGAGCCTGACTCCCATTTCTGCCTGCCTCTGTCCTCACACGGGCGACCTCTCTGGATTCTGTCTTCTTCTTATAAAAACACCAGTCACTGGATCTCTATCCCTCTAAATCCCATACGATAACATCTTGAGACCCTCTCAGTGATGGGTCAGGCTGGGAAAAAAAAAAAAAGAAAAGAAAAAAAAAGTTTTAAATGAAAAATCTTGAGATCCTTAACGGATTATATCTGAAAAGACCCCATTTCCAAATAAGCTCACATTCAGGGGTTTCTGGTGGATCGGAGTTTCAGGAGGACACTATTCAACGTATTACACCATGAAGCTAAAGTCTGCAGGAAGATAAGCATGACAGATGGCTGCCCCTCATAGTAAGACACAGGGCTAAAAGAACCGCGTCACTCTGACTAGCACAAATCGTAATGCCCTTGGTCTGCTGTGGTCATTATCACCAGTATTAGCCATGGGCAGCCTGAATTGTTTGTCCTGCAGGACAGGGAATACAACAAGCATTAAATACTGTGATGTTACCAACTTGTCAAATCAAGCCAGGGGCCCGCAGTTCTTTTTTCCCACTCTGATTTCTGCCTTTGATAAATTGAAGGGAGCAGTGTCACTCTGATATGGATTTCAATTTTCATTCCTTTAGGTGGCATAAGTGGAAATAAACTCAAGCTGATGCTTCAAAAACGAGAAGGTAAATATACCCCAAATGGATAAGGGATGCATTCTTAACTGGATGGAAATGAAGTGGCAATATGGAATGTGCTCACTGGAGTCTTGTATTTGGAAAATCAAAAGTGTTTACTCCTTAAAAGGTTAGCATATATGAAGGGCTTATTCTGTGGGTATGTGCTATGGTATTTTATTAGATAAATATTGCCAGTAAATGTCTGAAGGTTATTTTTCTGAAACCTGTCAGTGTGGACTCGAAAAGAAACAGTGGTACAGTTAATTGCATGCTATTTATTTTAGGACCATGAAGCACTTCAGAGATTATCTTTGGAGCACATAATCCTCAGCTGGTGGGGCAGGCGTGGAACAGCACTGTTGCAGTAGTCCATGTCTCCCATGAGCTCATGGGGAAGGGTTTCAAACAAGAAAGCGTTTCTTGTTATTAGCCTCTGTTTTGAAAAATGCATCTAAGATAAATGTGACGGTGGCAAAATGTCATAGAAATTGAACAGTCTGGGGGTCACAACACACAGGTTCTGGACCTGCTGTAATCACATCAGGTGAATCAATTGTGGGGTCTTGTGAATGTCATTTTCCCTCTCCCAACTTTCATCTCTATCTGCAAAATTAAGAATCCCTTAGAAGTGAAAAAGTGTCACCACACTTCTGATGTGACCATTTAGTCACATATTCTTACCCTCCTAGTTTACGGGGGATTCTAGCAGGCTGAACTTCCTCCTTGAAGTGGGGTCCTCAGTCGTTCTTCCCACACCTCCTAGTCGCTGCTCAGGGACCCTCCCACAGGTGGCTGGAGAACAGGCGGCCACTCTTGCAGGCAAGGAGTTCCTCGGGGGCGTTCCCAGCATCTTTCCCTGGGTTTCCAGCCACCCATGAAGCCCTGGCCCACCCCCAGTCTCTGAGGCAGCTCAGAGTGTCCCCTCCCTGTGCTGTGTGGTGGTGAGAGCCTCACCTCACCGATGCCCAGGGATGAACAACGCCCTCACAGAACCAGCTTGTTATAGGTGAGCAAGTTGCTGAGGCAGTCACAACTCCTAGGTGTGCATCCCGCAGCCTTGTCTCGGTTCAAACCAAGAAACACATATTGAGCACCTACTGTATACAAAACAGTGTAACAGTCCCTGAAGGGACTGCAAACAAACAAAAATCCCTGCTGATATTTATCCATATGACCAACAAACGCATCAACCCTGCATTTGCATGATCCTGTGCATTTTTCCTAACGTCTTTGAGAGGGACTGTCCATCCACTTTTATAGATAAGGGGACAGGGGCTGAGAACGTGACAGCAGGGGCAGAATGCCTAATGGCACAGTGGCTTCCTCGAGCACAACCTGCAGAAGTGGTTCCGTTTCAGCAATTGAGACTGTGATGGAAAGATGTTAGGAGCAGCAACAGTGTGAGGGTGCGGGTCAGTATCCTGCATCAATGGTCAGACTGTGAGGCGCAGAGAGGCATTGGCTTAAGGGAATTCTGTGTCTCGGCAGCCTGGTGTGAGAATCAGCTCTCCTGTTGGGCAGGGTCTGGTCCCTGCTCACTCGGGGCTCGTCATTCCAGTTCCTTTCTCTTACATAATCTCCTGAGCCAAGCACAACCCTCTTGTGTTTGCAAATGCAATGGACATGCCCGTATACCTGTGTGGCACTAGACATCCAGTCTGTTTCTTGAATGATGAGCTGAATTTCATTTCTACCCTGAGGACACAGAGGTTGAAGTTTAGTCCATGCCTCTTTATATGGCTGTACCAAATAGAACTTACCAACAGGAAGCATGGTGATGGATGCTGTGAGGCTGTGTCACATTGCCACATGCAAGTAAGAATGAAGTTGAGAGTTAAAATCTTCCTATGCATGGTGGTGGGGATGGAATGTATAATAGGGATTCACCGCCAGTGAGGAAAGAAATCATTCTTTGTGCTTTGGGGATGGGGAATTGATGATTTCAGCACCTGTTCCAACTAAGACGAAAGTGGCCGTTGATGAGAACAAAGCCAAAGAATTCCTCGGCAGCCTGAAGCGCCAGAAGCGGCAGCTGTGGGACCGGACCCGGCCCGAGGTGCAGCAGTGGTACCAGCAGTTTCTCTACATGGGCTTTGACGAAGCGGTGGGTGTTGCCTCTGGCTGCAGGCCTGGCTTCCACAGGGCAGGGTGGCAGGGAGGAGGCGTGGCTCGGGGAAATAGGAAGCAGAAAATTCAGCTTTGCTGTTCGTTCCTAAAGTAAGGGCCCCATCATATGCCAAGAGTTATCGGGCACTGGATCACGTTACCTATGGTGTAAGGTCAATGGCTGGAAGTTTCCACCAGGGCACATTCAGGAGGCAGAACCCAGGGCAGTCATGAACCAAAACAGCGGGGACCTAGATTCATCGAGAATCTGACTTTCTGGGCAACCCTTTTAACTTGGCTGAACAGTTTTGCCAGGGTATCCTTAAAATAACTCACAATCCCCCAAAATCTTTTCACTTTTACCTTGAAGACTGTCAGAAACAACAGGGATGCCAGGATCTATGATGATAATGACAAGAGATGAAAAAGAACCTGTAAAGAAAGGATGGGTCTTTGTAGAGGTTTTGGGGAAAATTTGTCAATGCACTTATAGGAAAAGATGTTTTACAGTTCATGCGCCTAGATGGCACTGGTGGACACATTCATTGAATGAAAGACAAAAGGTTTATAATCTTAGGCTCCCAGCTGGGGTGCACGTGCCGGTGAGACGGCAGCCCATGGAAGTCATAGATGTGGCCACATGGATGTCCGTCCACGGTGACTGACCTCAGGTGATCCACCCATCTCGGTCTCCCAAAGTGCTGGGATTACAGGCGTGAGCCACCGCGCCCGTACCTTCATGTTAAACTCCCAATGCTCATTTTAATGATGGTCATCAAAGAAATGCAAATTATTGAAAGAGGAGATAGCATTTTTGTCTATCAAACAAGTAAACATGTAATTTTAGTTTTCAATGAGAACACCAGATGCTGCTGAAGATTCCAGAAAACTGTTGCTCTTACATGTGACTCACAGGAATGCGCGATTTGACAATACTCAAGAGATACTTAAACGCGATTCCACCCTTGCCCCAGGAACCTCACTGGGAAGAATGTGGTCTAAGTAAAGGGCAAACTGCACAGAGATGTAAATAACAGCACCTGCCTTTTGGGTTGTTGTGAATGTGAAGTAAGTTCATACCTCTAAGTACTTAGAATCATGCTCGGCTCAGTTTGGCTATACGTGTTTAGCTATTTGCACAGAAAAAGAAAAAAAGGCAAAAAGACACTTGGGAAACAAGTAATATGTCCAATGGTTGGAAATGTGAAGGACATTATGGTATAGCCACATGATTTCATTTTATGTAGCCATTAAAAATGATCTAAGGGGTTTAGTTTTTTCTTCACCTACTGCAGTATTGTGTATACACCGTCTAAATGAATCACGTGCGCATTGTGAAAAACACTTCCAACTGCCCAGTTGGAGGTCCTGCCCATGAAAAGCCCATCTGCTCCCGGGTGGGGCTGCACAGGCCATGAGTCCTCCCTCTACGTCTCACACAGGGAGGTATGAACTTATTTCACATTCACACATGGCGGTGGGCAGAGGTTGCAGTGAACCGAGATCGCGCCACTTCACTCCAGCCTAGGTGAAAGAGTGAAACTCCCTCTTAAAAAAAATAAATACATAAATAAAATAAAATGAGAAAATCCAAGAAGCAAGATTGTTTCACCGTGGCCAAGAATGTTGTATTACGGGAGAAGCAAAATTAGAGATGGAGCCAAAGAAGTCGGTGTCCTCCTTCCCAAGGCAGAGGCTGAGGTGGGCTCAGATGGTTCAGACCCCAGGTATAGAGAATGGCAGTGAGAAACTGGAATCATGCTCTTTAGCCTAACACTAGCTGGCCCACTACCCACCGAGAGTGGATGACCACTGAGACCCAGAGACCACAGTCATGGGCTAGATTGGGGATTCCAGCCTCACAAAGTTCTCAAATATTAATGAATGTTCATTGGCAGTCTTGTTAAAATAAAAACAAGTTGCTGAGACCCAAACATCAGAAAGTTCCATGCAGGAGGCATGGAGTAGCTGGTGCCTGAGAACCTGCATTTGTGATTTGGATGCAGGGGTGCATGGGCCATGCTTGGAGAAAAACTGGCCCTGTACCCCAATAGCATGACCCGTTCACCCGCCCATCTGTCATATCCCTGCCTTTTTGCTCTCACACTAAATCTCTTGCCACATCCTGAGCATCAACACACGAGTCCTAGTCTAAATTAATCTTGCACCTTCACCACCACCAAAGAAAAATTAGTATCTTCCTTTTAAAAAAAAATGTATTAATAGCCAAGATCAGTTGCCCAAACCAAAAACCTGAACATCATTCTACACTTCTTACTCAGCTTTAGCTTCTCTATCCCTTTTATTATCTGTAACTGTCTCTTCTCGTATCTGTCACTCAGGAACAGTAGGCTTCTTGAAGGCAGAGACTCTGTTTCTGGCAGCCTTCCAGCGTCCAGCACAGGCCATGACGCACAGTGCCCATCTCAAAGCGTTTGCAGAATAAATAAGTGCATCTGTGTACACTCTAACCAACAACACAGGTATAAGAGTCACCATCAAATGTACCCCCAGTTCTCTGCCCTAGCGCTATAATAGGCCAGTGCAGTGGTTGATCTAACTCAGGCAACATTCATTAAGGATCTACTACATGCAATATAAAGGGCCAGGCACAGGAATGGGGTAGGAAGGTAAGACAGTGTTTGCCGCAATAAGATGTGGCCTAAGGGTCAGTCCAAGTTGTTACTGCATCTGGGCAACTGTCCATTTGATTTACAGAGACAGAAAAACATTTAAGTCTGGAGTATATTTAACATATATTTTACAAAAGTTTGCAAAGGTATGGGCCTGCACTCCTTTGGGAAAAGATAGCTTTTATCAGAATGAATACTCCTGACTGTATTGGCCTCTGAGCACAAGAATACGATAACAGGGAGTTACTAAGGGTTGTTAATCACTGAAGAAAAACCACCATGGAGAAAGCCCATAGGTAAGATTAGGTCTTAGGGGACTGTGTGCCCTTAAATCCGTTCTCTATCATTCTCTTTTCCTCCAGAAATTTGAAGATGACATCACCTATTGGCTTAACAGAGATCGAAATGGACATGAGTACTATGGCGATTACTACCAACGTCACTATGATGAAGACTCTGCAATTGGTGCCCGGAGCCCCTACAGCTTTAGGCACGGAGCCAGCGTCAACTACGACGACTACTAACCATGAGTTGCCACACGCTGTACAAGAAGCAAATAGCGGTTCTCTTCATGTATCTCCTAATGCCTTACACTACTTGGTTTCTGATTTGTTCTATTTCAGCAGATCTTTTCTACCTACTTTGTGTGATCAAAAAAGAAGAGTTAAAACAACACATGTAAATGCCTTTTGATATTTCATGGGAATGCCTAACAATGCATCTCATTTAAAAATAGAAATAAAGCATTTTGTTAAAAAGAAAAGTCTCAGAAGTCATTTGGGTGCAAATTAAGCTGGTGACATTTCTCGTTCCCTTGATATTTTGAAGGTGCATCTGTGAGGCACCTCTCCGTTATCACCCTGACATTCCTTACCGCCACCCAGGCAGACCACGGGACTGAGCAAAAGGTCTTCAGTTTGTTAAAACACAGTCTACATGAAATGCAAGACATACAATTAGCAAGAAAAGCTAGTTAAAAATGATCTGTGGTTACAGAACGTGGAGGATTCCAACCATTTGACAGAGAACCTTTCTGGTTCGGAGCTAGAGCTGGACCTGTTTAATATTACCATCCAGGAAATGAAGGGCAATAGAAAAAAACCTGAAAATTGGTTGATTTCAGAGCCACAGTTATCTAAAAAATAAAACTTTGTTCCATGAATTTAAGACATATTTAAGAATATTCTTTGCATTGTAAACAACCTGAGTGGATGAAAGAAAAGGTAGTATCTGCATGAGGAGAGGGAGGATAAGAAGACGGGGAAGTGAGTGTGGAATCGGAGCCTTTGCTGATAGGATGGGGTCTGGTTCCAGACTATGCAGAACTGCAGGCGGTGAGGTGGGGGAGGAGATTAACAGCATGAGGTGGGCAACTCAGAATGAGTCTTAGACTTTTGTGTGGCACAGACTCCTCTGACAGTCTGATGAAAGCTTTTTACTCTTTTCCTCAGAAAAATTACATGCAATTTTGCAGATAGCCTCTGAAAATAACCCTGGGCCCAGTAGGAGGCACTGGATTCAGAGCAGTGGTGTTTACGGACAATCATAAACAAAGCCCATTCTTTTCTTCCTTGGGGAGCCATACAAATTAAAACTGTAGTAAAATACACATAAAAGTTACCCTTTTAAGCATTTTCGGGTGTACAATTCAGTGGTTAAGTATATTCACATCGTTGTGCAACCATCACCACCATCCATTCATCTCTGGAACTTTTTCATTTTTCCAAACTGATACTGTATCCTTTAAACACTAACTCCCCATTCCTACCCCCAACACCCTGGCAACCCCCATTCTACTTTCTGTCTCTGAATGTCCACTCTAGGTACTTCATATAAGTAGTGTAATACGTATTTGTCTTTTTGTGTCTGACTTATTTCACTTAGCGTAATGACCTCAAGTTTCACCCATGTTGCAGCATGTGTCAGAATTTCCTTCCTTTTTAAGGAAGAATAATATTCCATTGTATGGATAGACCACTTTCGCTTATCCATTCAACCATCAATAGATACTTGGACTGCTTCTGTCTCTTGGCTGTTGTGAATAATGCTGCTATGAACGCGAGTGTGCAAGTATCTTTTTGTGTCCCTGCTTTCAAATTATCTTTGGAATTGCTGGATCACATATTCATTCTGTTTACTTTTTTGAGGAACCAGGCCAGGCACAGTAGCTCACGCCTGTAATCCCAGCAATTTGGGAGACTGAAGTGGACTAAAATACAAAAATTAGCTGGGCATGGTGGCGGGCGCCTGTAATCCCAGCTACTAGGGAGGCTGAGGCAGGAGAATCGCTTGAACCCAGGAGGCAGAGGTTGCAGTGAGCCGAGATTGCACCACTGCACTCCAGCCTGGGCAACAGAGCGAGACTCCGTCTCAAAAAAAAAAAAAAGAAAAAAAGAAAAAGAAAAAAAAATTGAGGAACCCTCTATGCTGTTTTCTAAAGCAGTGGAGCATTTTACATTCCCACCCTTAACATTTTGTTTCTTTTCTTTGACTATACTGAGGTGCCGAGCTGGCTCAAATCCCAACGCAATCTTAAAGAGGAGTAAAGGGGGTGATGGAGGACATCTTTGCTTCATTCCTTATCTTAAAGGGACTGCTTTCTATGTTCCTCCTTAACTATACTTGCTAGATTTTTTTTTTTTTTGTAGATGTCCTTTTTCAAGTTAAAAAAAAATGTCCTTCTAAAAATATGCTAAGGCCTTTTTAATGTCATACATTATATGGATGTTTAATTCTATTTTTTTCTTTATTAAGTTACTTTTAAATCTGTTACTACGGTGAATTTTATTAATAACAATT